AGATTGATCAGTATTGCTGAACTATGAAATATTTTTTTGTATACAGGTATAACAGAATAGCTTTAGTGTAGTTGTTGTTTTAAACTTGAGTATGAACTTGCAGACTTGCAAGTCTGCAGCAAGATATTTTAAAAAACAGTTTTGTTGATTAAAAAACACTATATCGGATTCATATCGGTATCGGCAGATATCCAAATTTATGATATCGGTATCGGTATCGGACATAAAAAAGTGGTATCGTGCCATCTATAATACAAACATTGCTTGTATACGTTTTTTTTGTCTCACACAGAAATCTGATCAGTAACAGAGGGTTAGGATGACTAAGAAGGTGACTAAAGCAGAAACAATAACACCCCTGATATCAATAATATTTTATCATTCATTCATATGAAAGCAGTGGTGGTAAAAGTGTTGATTTCTCCAAGTATCGTTCCAGCAAGGCCACATTAAGCGCTTAAGCTTTAACCGAAAAATGAGCAGTCACAGTGACAACACTCATGCATCAGACACCATCGGTGGCAAAACATGAATAACTCATGTATAAACACTTGGTTTCTAAAAGCACACTGAGTTTCCTGTGAAGTTCAGAAGAGCTAAACTACCAATGATGCAGCATGTCAGTGTCTGGACTTTGTAAACAGAGAGATCCCTCATTAGCTTGTGAATTAGTTGACATGGCAAACTGCACACAAGGAAAAAACACAATGATTGATGAGTTCTTAGATTGTTAGACTTTTTTGCTTTAGTTGGGTGATCCACACTTGTTTGTTTGTTTGTTTGTTTTTATATACATCCTGTGACCCTTTGAACTTCAAATGAATACCATACAATACTGTCAGCTCAGCTAGCTGGAGGGCACATGCAGACTCACTAATATCTTAGAAATCACTAAACTGCACTCATCTGTATGTGTGTCACACTGTGTGTAAATCTGTCTAAATTATAATTCTACCAGACACAGAACAGCAGGGCAAAAAACGCACTGCAGGAAACCACAATCCTGCCTTCTTTACAGGATACACGCTCTCAGTATAACAATAACACGAAGATTACTACAGCATGTTGATTTTTTTTTTAAATAATCTAATAAAGTACATAAGGGCCTATAACACAATGATGTTCTCTCTGTTGCTTCTCATCAACTTTTACGTGGGTCAATTTTCCTTTTGCATTTGTTGATGGTGTCTTTAATTAAAGCTTAAAAGTTTAACGCTTGTCTGATAAATTTCTAGGTCTCAGTCGCTCAGAAATATGTTATCTTTGTAGTGGGTGCATAAGTTAATGCTGCTTAAGATTTGTCATAAAAAGAGCCTAATAGTAGATCACGAAGCAGCATTTTTTACACTTTGACATCTCTCATACAGAACAGTTTCTAACTGTCTGACTGTAAATGTAATCACGATTAAATTCAAGTCCATTCAACAGGGAATGAAGTGAATGTAGTAAAAAAAAAAAAAATACTGACCGCCCCATTCACAGGTCATTGTAGCAACGTTATAATCAAGATTAATTCAATGTCCACGGCACATTTTTCATTTATTCTGAAACTCCCCAAAGACCTCCATAATAACCTTTTACAGTTTCCATCAAAAATAATCGATATTATAAGAAAAAAAATCCTCCTTGAATAATTCACATGCAGTAAGAGAAAGTTATCTTCCAATGTGGCACTTTCTGCCACACTCATTTCGGTGTTGTTAATTGAGTTTAAAAATTCAGTCTCCTTCTAATTGTTCCCGATAAAGCCTCAGGCTATCTCTCAGTGTCATCACTGATTAGGGATTTAACTCTCTTGCCAAAAACACGAAGAGTCCACTAACATCGATGGCATGTCAATTCTCTTTCAAGGATAGACTCTCTCTTAGACAAATGCAGTGAGTGTTTAACATATTAAAAAATTTCCCTAATACATAATCTCATCTCATATGTTTAATTACCATTACTTCTTTATATTTTTTTGTAGATTGACTGCTTTATGCTTCCCATGTCATTAATGACATCAGCTCACTGATCAACATGAATATTGTTTGTTATCTAAAATGAGTCACTCACGTTCATGCAAAAACAGCTTCATTTTTACATTTTATTGTTTAATTTATTCAGTGCAGTCATGAGCATACACTGTGGAAGCATAGTCTTTTAAACAAGGAAACAAAGTAGAGAAAAATAATCATCTGTAATCTTCTTAGTGTTTGTTTATCACTGCTACATTGTATAAATATTAAACTCACAGGATGACAATGGATGTTCATTAAACAGCGATAATGATTTTTTTCCCTTTTTTTAATATAGCTCAGTTTGTCCATAATGCACTGAAATTACCCTGAACTAGCTGCGGGGTTTTGTACCTCTTATCTTTCCAAATAGAGTGAAAAACATGTTCTTTTTTATATAATTACTTTCACAAAATTATAACACCCAGCTAATTAATATTTTCGTGTGTGTCATCAGTAATAAAATGATGGATTAGATGGGATTACATTGGGTTGTGGTCTAATAAATTCATGTTTTAAGAGCATTCAGGGATGAGAATACTATTCAAAAATATAGATTCGAAAATGATTTCCATGTAGCCTCCCAGGAAAGACACCACCAAAACATAAAAATTACAGCAAACAGTGGAAATGTGAGGTTCAAGTCCAAGCACGTCCTTTCTCCAGTTTGCACAGTGACGGGTCAAGCCTTGTTTGTGTGTTACATGAAATGACTAAGTCTAATGTAGAATTTCAGTGTATTAGTGAATGGTAAAGGTTTTCATCATTATCAACTTTATCTTCTATTAATTAGGAAAATGGTTCACATACAGTGCCTAACAAATTTAGAAGATAATTTGTCATGAAAACAAATATTTATGTTTTTTATAGCTGAAATTGGACTTTTCTGAGAAGTCAGAGACTAATTTAACCACTTAACCTTTATATTTATTTTTGTTCAGGAATGAAAGTAATTGAATGTAATGTGGCATCTTCATAAAAAATAATGCTGTGCTTTAAAATGTTTTCTGTTTGTTTCGTAAAATGTTAATTTTAAGCATTGTCTGTGAAGGTTCTCAGTCATCCAGGTCATCGTAGTCTAAGGAGCTTGGGAAGAAAAGCGTCTGGACTTCTTTAAGTTGCTTGAAGATGTTTCACCTCTCATCCGAGAAGCTTCTTCAGTTCTAAGAGTCAAATGGTGGAGAGACCCAGATTTAAACCCAGTGGGAGTATCCCCCCAAAGAGGAACAAAGGACCCCTGATGATCCTCTACCTAATCACATGAGCCTAGGTGTGAAAACAGGTGTGGGTCACAATCAGCCAGGGTTTCGGGTGAGCTGATCACCCTATCACATGATAGGGTGATCAGGAAATCACCCTATCACATGATAGGGTGATCAGGAAATCACCCTATCATGTGATTTCCTGAGGTCAAACAGCCCAGGGTGTGAGTGGGTGTTAAGACGTCTGGGAAGGGATCTCAAAACTGGATTATAGATGGCAGACAGTTGGTGTCGTAAACCCCCGCCTCTGTTTAAAGATGGTCACTCACAGTGGACATAGATGGCTTCTTTCACTCCTCTTTCAAAACATCTGTCCTGTGGGTGACCTTTGTCCTTTAGATGCAGATGGACTGCTGAGTCTTGTCCTGTGGAGGTGGCTCTGCTATGTTGTGCCATGCGCTTGTGAAGTGGCTGTTTGGTCTCTCCAATGTAGAGGTCTGGGCATTCCTCGCTGCACTGTACAGCATACACCACATTGTTAAGTTTGTGTTTTGGAGTTTTGTCTTTCGGGTGAACCAGTTTTTGTCTGAGTGTGTTGCTGAGTCTGAAATGTACTGGGATGTCGTGCTTGGAGAAAACTCTTCTGAGTTTCTCTGATACCACATGATAGGGTGGGGCCAGGTTTCACAATGAGCTCACCTGAAACCCTGGCTGATGTGACCCACACCTGTTTTCACACCTTGGCTTATGTGATTAGGTAGAGGATCATCAGGGGGTCCTTTGACCCTCTTTGGGGGGATACTCCCACTGGGTTTAAATATGGGACTCTCCGCCATTTGACTGAAGAAGCGTCTCGGATGAGAGGTGAAACATCTTCAAGCAACTTAAGGAAGTCCAGACGCTTTTCTTTCCAAGCTCCTTAATTTTAAGCATTATACTTTTGATCTAACTATTACAGAAACATAAAAACATATTTTGAAATCACCAATACTGTTAATCTAGGGCAACTGTTGCATAAAGCTTAACAACAGTGGTTCTGTTTTTAAAAAGTCACACCTGACTTGACTAATTCAGTGAACGGACATGCATTAATGAAAGTACAATAAACAAATGTGGAATTCACATATATATATAGAAATATTTATAGAAATAAATAAATAAACACAGTTTGTTAAATTATTACGTTATGTCTTAACAGTAGCTTAACCAATATTGCATGAATTACATCATTTTTAAATCCGGTAAATTCCCTCTGCTTCTGCACATCTCCGATAAATTGCAGCAGTAATTTTATGGCCAACCTTTGCAGACAGGTAAGAGAGCGCAGACTGTCATTAGCATCACAGCGCATTCTTTTGTCACACATTAGGTGATCAGTCAAACAGCTCACAGTTCACACTGAGCATAGACGGATATTAAGAAATATCAAACTTTCTTGAACGGACATTAACAAATAAATTCAATCGTAACTATAGCATCAAATCACATCCGTCACTTTACATCGTAAGGTAGAGAACCCACCATATTAGAGAAAGAATCCCACCAATCAGACAGCCCACTATGAGCAAACAATCAGCAACAGTGGGAAGGAAAAACTGCTGCAACCTCTGCTAGAACCAGGAAATCTGTCAATACTGGTTGGGGGTTAGGGCAACAGATGGAAGTCTCCAGAGCAGTGGTAGCGTGACTTTCTTTGTATATACCTGAACCTGATTTACCTTTTAATTTTCTTACTTTTCAAAATACATCGTAGGTAAAATACAATCCTTGAAATAGTAATAACACAGTATCCTCAGCAAAGATGAATTAAACAAGTTTTATTTTAATGGAAGTTTACTTCAAGTCTTCAGATTTTTACTGTCTTTTATTTGATTACTTTAAAGTATATGATTACATTAGAGTAATTAAATAAAGACAGTTTTGATGGAGCTCCTGACCCAGCCCAAGCTCTCTATGAAGACGAGGAAAAACTCCCCTGGGGGGGCCAGATTGACGGGAAGAAACCTCGGGAAAGCCCATTCAAAGAGAGATCCCCTTTCCTGGGATGGCTGGGGGGGTTACAGGAATTCCAAAACACTGAAATTTAAAGTGGGCCAATTAAAAAAATTATTTCCTGAAAAAAAGCAAGGTAATTCATACATCACACATAAATGATAACGTCTGAATTGTGTGTGTTTGTGTGTGTGTGTGATATGCTTATCTCAGCCACGTGTGATGCTGTAGCTCCTCCAGCGTCGGCCGCGTCTCCGGGACTTTGGTTAAACACGCGTCCAAGAAATCCCGGCAGTCTGGAAAGAAAGGAAAGAGAAAAAACATGAAGATGATAGTTCCAGTGGTCCAAGCCATCAGTCAGTCTTGAAGTGTGACGTTTTCTTACTTTTGGACAGATGTCTTTTGAATTTCAGGCGCTTTTTGAGGAAGCTCGTGGTGTTAAAGTCTCCCGCATGAAGCGCTTCGTACAGAACCACTCCCATTTGCCATACCGTGGTGGGTCCACACCTGTAGCAACTGCGCCCGTACCACTCGGGAGGGGAGTAAATTTCTGTACCTAATAAACAGACACAATTGCAATTTCTTCTAAAACAAAAGGCGAAAATTGTGACATCTGTGAAGAGCAAGAGCAGAATATGTTACCATAGAAGACGCGGTACTGCGACTGCTCCTTAACAAAGCAGCTCAGTCCAAAGTCGATGATACGAACACGCGGTACATCTGAGCCGGTCTCAATTAGAATGTTCTCACTCTTGATGTCCCGGTGAAAGATGTGTTTATCCTCCAGGTGCTTCGCAGCATCAACCAGCTGCTTCAGAATGACCTGGAAATAGAGCAGGGCGATATGACCAAAAATATTTATCAAGATATACATTTGAAAAGTTGCGATAACGATATAACTGACGATATAATTGACACTAGACAAAATACTTTACAACTCCACAACTATTAGTGCAAAAAACCCCATCAATGTATTTTCACTTAAACAAGCAGCTGTTTTTTTATGTCCATTAAAGTTATATAAAAATTTGTAACAGTGCAAATTCCTTGCTGACAGTTTAACCAAAAGGCATTTCCAGTGGAAATTGGCCGACATATCCTCAGCATAACCATGTATAATATCCACAAAACTTAAAAAGAGGTTATACACACACAATACGGTAATATAATGTTGAGGTGCAGTACGTATCACTCCGCGAGGCGCCTGCCTACGATAGCCGTAATGCTCCGACAATCCATCGAGCGGTGCTGCTTTGTAGCTTAGCAAAGTCGCCGTGTACATAAAATCGTTTTGAGGTCAGTAAACACAACCAGAATTCATACATAAGTCACACGGGATTATAAGGGGCACTGTCGAGTTTCAGAAAAATCAAAGGATTGATTTTAAGTGTGCCGTATTTTCCAAACAACACGGTAATAACGACGCCCCGCTAGCATTCGCTCCCAAAAATTGTGCTTTGTTGTGTATCTGACGGACGAAAGCTAAACCAGTTCCACACCACTAAAGTTGCAGCATTTTTACAAACCAGTTCTGGTTCATCCGTTTCATTCAACGATCCACTTTCGCTCTTCTCATTGTGCGTCATCGTTTTGAGGTCAGTAAACACAACCAGAATTCATGCGGCGTCACCGCCATGTGCGTATGTAAACAAAGGCACTGCGCATGCGCGTTTTACCCATATTCTATCGCGATATTTCATTTTCCTATCGTTGCCCAAAATTACCCCGGTATTACCGTGAATGGTATGATATAGCCCAGCCCTACCTGGAAACGATGAAAAAGACAATAATCAATCAATGGGTTAATGTTTCTCTAACACTCTGTGCTTTGATTGAATGATGTACAGTCTAAGACTCTTCTAAAGCAAGTCAACTTGCCTTGGCCTTGTCCTCTGGCAAAAATCCTCCATTTTCTTCTATATATTTATCCAGGTCCACAGCGGGGACAGGTCTCTCCATCACCAGGATCAGCTCTCTGCCAAAGTCAAACCACTCCAACAGAGACACTGGGGCTGATGTTTCCACTGATCCATCTGCTTCAGCTGCAAGCTTCAGCATGATGGCAACTTCCACTGACACATTCTTCCCGTTATCATCCTGAAATATTTCAACAAAGTGGATGATGAGGCACAGACGTTCCACAGGTGAACGCTGCATGCAATCCACTAATGTAAAAGCAATTCAAGTCTTGCATATTTACCTTCACTTTGCAGTACACTTTCCCCTTTGGGATGTGTTTGATGGCCACCTAAAAGACACAGGGCATTGATGAGCATTTCCTCAGTATGACATAATTAAAGGTGTAAAACAGCTTACGATATTATCCCTTATCTGCGTTACTGCCTGTCTTACTACCACCATCTGAACACTTACTGGTAAATGATCCTTTATGCGGTAGCCAGCAAACACTGCTCCACACCCTCCTTCTCCAAGCCGGTGCTCCTCCACGTATCTCGCTTGGAAGTCACCTAAACAGACAAACACAAATTGGGTTTTACTACAGCTGTCACACAAATTACTCTCTGCTGTACCCTAAATGTTCATTTTGCTCTTCACCTGAATATAAAAGCCAAGCTGCTTGCTACTTACGTTTCTGTTCAGCCACTGACTTTTTGGCAACAGTTTTGGTTTTGTCCTGGTCCACTTTCTTTTCTTAGGTGGGTCCCTGGTGTCTCCCGCAGCTTTCCTTTTGCCAGCCTTTTGTTTTTACTGCAGCTCTCTGAAATCTCTATGCTGCAGTCTGCAGATGTGGAAAACACCAAAAGCACGTCAGCTTATTAGATAATAGACACAAATATCTCCCAAACACTAATATCTTCAAACTAGCAACCAGATGTACACTTAATCTACCCCTCACTCAACTAATTAGCCTACCTTTACCAGTGTCCAACCAGGAAGATGCCTGCCCCTTGTCACCGCTCACATGGTCAAGAAGTTTACGCTTCTTTGCTGTGTTGGCTGTCCCCGCTTCATCTTGTTGGACCTTTCGCTTGACTCCCCTGACCACATGAGCATCTGAGCTGGTGGAAGGACCAGCCTGCTCAGTGACCCTCCTTCTTTTTATGGGGGTCGTTTTTTCAGGACTGGCCTTTCTTTTAGCCATCCTGCTCTTACAATCTATAAACAACAACAACACATTAGTGAAAAAGAGCGCTCGACATCAGGACTAGAAGGATTTTGATGTCACTGAATTTTTAATTAGTATTGCTTACAATATAATAACAAGTTTATCCTTTTGATAAAAAACACACCAACACGAGTCCATCTACTAAGTCTAGATACTGATGACACTTGTTGCTCTGTTTTCACTGCTCAGTCCAAGAATAAACTTGTCACATTATTTTACCAAAAGACAAAGTGCCCCAGTAACCTTTCTTTGATTAGACATGTTGCACTTAGGTTAGTTTCAATCAAAACCAGGATTTAAATCCTCTAAAAATGAATCGTTTTATACACAGAGCCTCAACATTGTTAGAAATGTCGATTCTGTTATTTGGGGGATTTTTTTTTTTTTTACTTACTTTGATCTCCTGGATCTTTCTTATCTGCCTCAGTCGTAACTTTTCTTGTTTCCTTTTTCATCTGAATTTTTTGAGAACTTTTAAAATAGAAAATGTCACCTTAATGAGTGAATAGTCCTTCAAATGTCTGGATGCTTGACTTTTCTAACTAAGCTGTATAAGTCAGTTCTGTAAGTGAGCTTTAAAAGTAAACTCCGGAGACTATGGCAACACAACATTAGAACCTTGCCTTTTAGTGACATCACTAAAAGGCAGTGTCCCAAGTAGTTTAAAGAAAAACACTCTGGCAGACAAAGCCATAATATTTCATATAATTCAGTAATTTCACATTAAACTTTCTTTCATTATCCTTTCATTATTTGTTTAACCCTTTAAGACCTACCATAGAACCAAGTTCGCCAGAGCTTACTTTATATTTTTACATGCTGTAGTGCCATTTTTGGGAGCATTTCAAGTTGCTATACATCAATACAACTGTTATAGCCCATATTTTAATAATATGTATGCATTAAGTCCATAGTAACTACATTAATTGCAAAAAAGTGCAACAAACTACAAAAAAAATTGAAAATCGTTTTTGGTTTTTTTTAAATATATTTCTACTTGGAGAAATTTAAGAGGCTTATCCCTCAAAACTTTAAATACAAAAAAGTTGCAAAAAATAGTTTACAACAACAGGAAATTTATTTTGAGTGTCTTCATAGTTTTATTTTTGAGATACACCAATTTTTACATACTGCAGGAATAACGAAAAACAATCCTATGATGCAAATTTGCAAAGAAAACAGCATGTGCATCAAAATAAACTATTTTAAGCAGTGCAATTCGAGTTCTAAGCATCCCAGAAACTATTCAGAAAAGCATAAAGTCAAACATGACTTATAAAAACACCAGTATAGGCTCTTAAGGCCTACAAGTAAAAAACTACATTTTCCGCGAAAATGACGTCACTTCCGGTTTCGGGCAGGAAATGGTGGACATGCGATCATTCGCGCTGACGTCTGTTTCAATGTGGGAAGTGTTACGAACAGCTGATCGGATCGGCAAAGCGTGTTTCTGGAATATTATGTTTTTGTTCCCGCAAGCGCTTTTATGCAATTTTTGCAAAGCTATATGTGTAAGGAAACCATGACCTAGGACAAGCCGATGGCATAAGATTTAAGTACAACTCTGGTTTCATATGCAAAAAAAATTATTGCGCTAGCTTACGCGGTTCCCGGTTCTACAGGGATTTAAAAATAGTTACGCAAAACAGAGCGTGCCTGCTCCGACCGGCTTTAAAGGGTTAAACATGTAACAATCGAATTGCATCTTTCCATTGCCAGCCATCTCATTTTGTACAAATCCAGCCAACTCTTCCAAGTTTGTGTATTTTTTAAACCCTTACAAGAATTGAAATGTGTCCCAAATATCTGTATCCCATCAGAGGCAAGTTTCCTAAAGGAGAGGTAGTAGCTGCTCCACCATAGGACCAGTAGGACCTCCAGCACACAATGAACACTTAATTAACATTAACACATTTATTAAAACACAATTTTAAGCAATAACCCTTTTCTTTTAGTGTGTTTCAATTTGTTCCTACCGCGCCATTGGAACGGTGTACTATCCAGTAACAGCATCCAGCTGGCAGAAGCATACACCTGCAGCAAGGAGAATCTACCAGGCAGGATAGCGCAGCGGAGTCATCAGATGAAGTGGTTCATCCAGCAGGAACAGGATACCAAAAGGGGAGAGAAAAAACACAGAAAGCATAGTCATGACTAACTCAGTGTCACTAACAGCTCATCTAGCAGTCTTAACATCATAAGGATACAGGCTGGTCCATATAAAAAATATTAACAGAAAAAAGATGTACTTACCTGGATGATTGAGCATGTATCAAGACAATGAGTCATTTACTTTAGTAAAACTGTAATGCAACAAGCACAAAAAATGGGCTGTAAAAAAAAGAAAAAATATCTGAACAATAGCACCGACTTTTAAATAGCAATCAAGCCCAATAAACAGTTTCTTTTGTTAAAAGAGGGGCCTAATGTCCTCCACAGTTATGTGAGATGATAAAGCCATACAGAAAATGATTACTTCAAGATATAGCTGCTAAAAGTCGTTCTACTACCGAATTATGTGTATGTATCCTCTCTTGATTTATTTCCAAAGTTTACTCACTTGATTTGGATTACTGAATGGAACCTAATCATTTTATTAATCTATACACACAGAAATAGCCACACAAACTAAATTAGTTGGTCAAATTTTATTCAGACACTTGTTGAAATAATCACACAATGTAGTCCTTCTAATGACAGCAACATACTGTTGTTAGGAGGTGGTGGGATTGTCACATGCAGTGAGCTAGCATGATTTACTTAAAGCTGATGTGATTCCCAGATTGGATGAACTATTTGCATTTTCCTCATCATTATTTTTATTTTTGTTTTCTGATTGCTGATTGGTAGTGGTTGCCAGAATTATGCTTTCGCTTAAAATACAGTGTTAGCTACTAGTGCCTCAATTTCTTGGTTGTCTAAGAAATTCATCCTATCAGAGCCTTCAAAAACAAAAAATAAAAACAAAAAATATACTTTACAAAACATAATTCCAATTAAAATAGTTAGCTGGGTAAAATGCCACATGTTTTATGTCATGGTACAGTTAGTGCGATTCTTGATTCTTATGATAAAATGTAATTATATTTTAATCCCACAAATCTCTTTTTTCTTTTTATGAGAGCTCACACACTTAAAGGATATGCCAAAGTCACACATTTTACAACAGCAACCTCATTTTATAAATGCAATACACTAAAAAACAAGGGGAATAAAAGCAAAACATTAACGGTGTGTTCACACTGAACGCGATAGACGCGAACGAAAACGCCCCAAACGCCCCTAATTTGACGCGTGCACATTCGCACCTCAACGCGTGACCAAGAAAAATCCATCGCGCCTCAAAATTGCATATTTTGACGTGCGTGAACCGGAAATGTGGGAGGAAGTTGTGCCAGACCGGTATCTTTGTCAGCTGTCGAGCTAGCGTTTGAAGAGAGAGTCTCCCTTCTCTATTTACTGTGCAGAGCAGAGCAGCGGCGTTAAGGACGTCCTCGCCGTACCTGGGTCCATCAGGTCCTCCAGACGCGTGAGCAGTTTGGTGAGTTTCAACACTTGCTCCAGGAGCTGCGCCTGGATGACGGCCGATTTCAGCGATATCGCCGTCTTCCCCTCGCCCAGTTTGAGGACCTGCTGTCCCGCGTTGGTCCAAGAATCGCCCGCCTAGACACCGACTACAGGCGCTCAATCCCACCTGCAGAGCGCCTGTCCGTCTGCCTGAGGTTAGTAAAAGTGTTTAATACGGTAGTCCTTTATTGATACCTGTGCTAATATGCTAAACTATCGTTTATAGACTGCTAACATGGATGTGCTATGCCATCAATGAATGCCGTTGGTGTTTACTGATAGCAAACTGTGGTACGGAGACAACTGTTTATAATATTTCTAGTGATACTCGAAATGTCTCATCAAGTCCTGATTTAATTCAATTTATGCTGTTATCAGTGTTTGCAACGATAGCATGGCTGTGGTGCCATATGTATGCTCTCGGTGTTTGCTGATATCAAACTGGTATTAGGACCAATGTAGGTTAATCTTTGTAGTGATACTCACTCCTTTTTATTTAGACCTGGTTTAATTCTGGTATAGTTGAGTATTTGTATATAATCCCTGCAGCTGTCAGACTCTATAACAGGGGTCACCAGCCTTTATAAAAACAGAGTTAGATAAAACTGTGAACAGTTTGGTTCATCTTTAGTTAGATGGTTCTATCTTGATAAGCTATGTCTTCTCACAGATTCATTTTTCAAAAATATTAATGATTTAAGCAAGGAAAGGGCTACATGTCAGCATACAACTCTTTATTTCTATTAATGTCTTACTTCATTCCTACCTGATTGACATGTTTAGGAATTATGAGTGATTGGCTCACTGTAGTTGTAAAAGTTGCTACCAATCAAATTATGATATGTTAAAGTTAAAACAAAACACAACTGTTTAGTGTCATTTTTGTTGTAATTGATGTCTGGTTTGTTCTGTTCCCTAGTGATGGGTAGGGATGGGTACCAGTATCGCACCGGTTCTGACCCTTGAAATAGTAATAACACAGTATCCTCAGCAAAGATGAATTAAACAAGTTTTATTTTAATGGAAGTTTACTTCAAGTCTTCAGATTTTTACTGTCTTTTATTTGATTACTTTAAAGTATATGATTACATTAGAGTAATTAAATAAAGACAGTTTTGATGGAGCTCCTGACCCAGCCCAAGCTCTCTATGAAGACGAGGAAAAACTCCCCTGGGGGGGCCAGATTGACGGGAAGAAACCTCGGGAAAGCCCATTCAAAGAGAGATCCCCTTTCCTGGGATGGCTGGGGGGGTTACAGGAATTCCAAAACACTGAAATTTAAAGTGGGCCAATTAAAAAAATTATTTCCTGAAAAAAAGCAAGGTAATTCATACATCACACATAAATGATAACGTCTGAATTGTGTGTGTTTGTGTGTGTGTGTGATATGCTTATCTCAGCCACGTGTGATGCTGTAGCTCCTCCAGCGTCGGCCGCGTCTCCGGGACTTTGGTTAAACACGCGTCCAAGAAATCCCGGCAGTCTGGAAAGAAAGGAAAGAGAAAAAACATGAAGATGATAGTTCCAGTGGTCCAAGCCATCAGTCAGTCTTGAAGTGTGACGTTTTCTTACTTTTGGACAGATGTCTTTTGAATTTCAGGCGCTTTTTGAGGAAGCTCGTGGTGTTAAAGTCTCCCGCATGAAGCGCTTCGTACAGAACCACTCCCATTTGCCATACCGTGGTGGGTCCACACCTGTAGCAACTGCGCCCGTACCACTCGGGAGGGGAGTAAATTTCTGTACCTAATAAACAGACACAATTGCAATTTCTTCTAAAACAAAAGGCGAAAATTGTGACATCTGTGAAGAGCAAGAGCAGAATATGTTACCATAGAAGACGCGGTACTGCGACTGCTCCTTAACAAAGCAGCTCAGTCCAAAGTCGATGATACGAACACGCGGTACATCTGAGCCGGTCTCAATTAGAATGTTCTCACTCTTGATGTCCCGGTGAAAGATGTGTTTATCCTCCAGGTGCTTCGCAGCATCAACCAGCTGCTTCAGAATGACCTGGAAATAGAGCAGGGCGATATGACCAAAAATATTTATCAAGATATACATTTGAAAAGTTGCGATAACGATATAACTGACGATATAATTGACACTAGACAAAATACTTTACAACTCCACAACTATTAGTGCAAAAAACCCCATCAATGTATTTTCACTTAAACAAGCAGCTGTTTTTTTATGTCCATTAAAGTTATATAAAAATGTAACAGTGCAAATTCCTTGCTGACAGTTTAACCAAAAGGCATTTCCAGTGGAAATTGGCCGACATATCCTCAGCATAACCATGTATAATATCCACAAAACTTAAAAAGAGGTTATACACACACAATACGGTAATATAATGTTGAGGTGCAGTACGTATCACTCCGCGAGGCGCCTGCCTACGATAGCCGTAATGCTCCGACAATCCATCGAGCGGTGCTGCTTTGTAGCTTAGCAAAGTCGCCGTGTACATAAAATCGTTTTGAGGTCAGTAAACACAACCAGAATTCATACATAAGTCACACGGGATTATAAGGGGCACTGTCGAGTTTCAGAAAAATCAAAGGATTGATTTTAAGTGTGCCGTATTTTCCAAACAACACGGTAATAACGACGCCCCGCTAGCATTCGCTCCCAAAAATTGTGCTTTGTTGTGTATCTGACGGACGAAAGCTAAACCAGTTCCACACCACTAAAGTTGCAGCATTTTTACAAACCAGTTCTGGTTCATCCGTTTCATTCAACGATCCACTTTCGCTCTTCTAATTGTGCGTCATCGTTTTGAGGTCAGTAAACACAACCAGAATTCATGCGGCGTCACCGCCATGTGCGTATGTAAACAAAGGCACTGCGCATGCGCGTTTTACCCATATTCTATCGCGATATTTCATTTTCCTATCGTTGCCCAAAATTACCCCGGTATTACCGTGAATGGTATGATATAGCCCAGCCCTACCTGGAAACGATGAAAAAGACAATAATCAATCAATGGGTTAATGTTTCTCTAACACTCTGTGCTTTGATTGAATGATGTACAGTCTAAGACTCTTCTAAAGCAAGTCAACTTGCCTTGGCCTTGTCCTCTGGCAAAAATCCTCCATTTTCTTCTATATATTTATCCAGGTCCACAGCGGGGACAGGTCTCTCCATCACCAGGATCAGCTCTCTGCCAAAGTCAAACCACTCCAACAGAGACACTGGGGCTGATGTTTCCACTGATCCATCTGCTTCAGCTGCAAGCTTCAGCATGATGGCAACTTCCACTGACACATTCTTCCCGTTATCATCCTGAAATATTTCAACAAAGTGGATGATGAGGCACAGACGTTCCACAGGTGAACGCTGCATGCAATCCACTAATGTAAAAGCAATTCAAGTCTTGCATATTTACCTTCACTTTGCAGTACACTTTCCCCTTTGGGATGTGTTTGATGGCCACCTAAAAGACACAGGGAATTGATGAGCATTTCCTCAGTATGACATAATTAAAGGTGTAAAACAGCTTACGATATTATCCCTTATCTGCGTTACTGCCTGTCTTACTACCACCATCTGAACACTTACTGGTAAATGATCCTTTATGCGGTAGCCAGCAAACACTGCTCCACACCCTCCTTCTCCAAGCCGGTGCTCCTCCACGTATCTCGCTTGGAAGTCACCTAAACAGACAAACACAAATTGGGTTTTACTACAGCTGTCACACAAATTACTCTCTGCTGTACCCTAAATGTTCATTTTGCTCTTCACCTGAATATAAAAGCCAAGCTGCTTGCTACTTACGTTTCTGTTCAGCCACTGACTTTTTGGCAACAGTTTTGGTTTTGTCCTGGTCCACTTTCTTTTTCTTAGGTGGGTCCCTGGTGTCTCCCGCAGCTTTCCTTTTGCCAGCCTTTTTGTTTTTACTGCAGCTCTCTGAAATCTCTATGCTGCAGTCTGCAGATGTGGAAAACACCAAAAGCACGTCAGCTTATTAGATAATAGACACAAATATCTCCCAAACACTAATATCTTCAAACTAGCAACCAGATGTACACTTAATCTACCCCTCACTCAACTAATTAGCCTACCTTTACCAGTGTCCAACCAGGAAGATGCCTGCCCCTTGTCACCGCTCACATGGTCAAGAAGTTTACGCTTCTTTGCTGTGTTGGCTGTCCCCGCTTCATCTTGTTGGACCTTTCGCTTGACTCCCCTGACCACATGAGCATCTGAGCTGGTGGAAGGACCAGCCTGCTCAGTGACCCTCCTTCTTTTTATGGGGGTCGTTTTTTCAGGACTGGCCTTTCTTTTAGCCATCCTGCTCTTACAATCTATAAACAACAACAACACATTAGTGAAAAAGAGCGCTCGACATCAGGACTAGAAGGATTTTGATGTCACTGAATTTTTAATTAGTATTGCTTACAATATAATAACAAGTTTATCCTTTTGATAAAAAACACACCAACACGAGTCCATCTACTAAGTCTAGATACTGATGACACTTGTTGCTCTGTTTTCACTGCTCAGTCCAAGAATAAACTTGTCACATTATTTTACCAAAAGACAAAGTGCCCCAGTAACCTTTCTTTGATTAGACATGTTGCACTTAGGTTAGTTTCAATCAAAACCAGGATTTAAATCCTCTAAAAATGAATCGTTTTATACACAGAGCCTCAACATTGTTAGAAATGTCGATTCTGTTATTTGGGGGATTTTTTTTTTTTTACTTACTTTGATCTCCTGGATCTTTCTTATCTGCCTCAGTCGTAACTTTTCTTGTTTCCTTTTTCATCTGAATTTTTTGAGAACTTTTAAAATAGAAAATGTCACCTTAATGAGTGAATAGTCCTTCAAATGTCTGGATGCTTGACTTTTCTAACTAAGCTGTATAAGTCAGTTCTGTAAGTGAGCTTTAAAAGTAAACTCGGAGACTATGGCAACACAACATTAGAACCTTGCCTTTTAGTGACATCACTAAAAGGCAGTGTCCCAAGTAGTTTAAAGAAAAACACTCTGGCAGACAAAGCCATAATATTTCATATAATTCAGTAATTTCACATTAAACTTTCTTTCATTATCCTTTCATTATTTGTTTAACCCTTTAAGACCTACCATAGAACCAAGTTCGCCAGAGCTTACTTTATATTTTTACATGCTGTAGTGCCATTTTTGGGAGCATTTCAAGTTGCTATACATCAATACAACTGTTATCAATCAATCAATCAATCAATCAATCAATCAATCTTTATTTATAAAGCACTTTTCATACAAAAAAAAAATGTAGCACAAAGTGCTTTACATAGTTAAAAGCAGCCCACCCCACCCTCTAACTCACTCCCCGCACTCTCATTAACATATATGATGTGAATACACACATATCTTCCCCCCCCCACACACACACACACACACACACGCGCACGCACACACACACACACACACGCGCACACTTAAAGAGTAAAAATTGGGCTGGGCTCGCATGAGCCAAGTGAGGAAACATTATAACAGGGAGCCGTCTGCACCGGGAGCCGGTCACAGACCGCAGCCTCCTGTCATGGTCCTGGGTCGTGTGACCCAGCCCAGTCAACACACATATGTGGGGCCCAAATAGGGAGCAGCAGGGCTAATATTTGGGGCCCACTTGGGAAACCCAACTGGGGTCCAGCTAATTTTGTCCTCAGTTTCCATGGTGGCCCCAAATATGTTTTCCTAGATGGGTTTATGCTGGGTCCCAGATAAGCCCCAAATCAGGCCCAGTCAAAAAAAATATGTGGGGCCCAGATGGGTAGAAGCAGATCTGATATTTGGGGCCACCTAGGACCCAGCTAATTTTGTCCTCAGTTTCCATGGTGGCCCCAAATGTGTTTGCCCAGATGGATTATTGATGGGACCCGGATGGGCCCCAAATCAGGCCCAGCCAACAAATGAGTATGGGGCCCAGATGGGTAGAAGCGGGTCTGATGGTTGGGGCCCACTTGGGTTACCCACCTGGCACCCAGCTACTTTTGTCCTCAGTTTCCATGATGGCCCCAAATGTGTTTTCCCAGATGGGTTAATGATGGGTCCCAAATCAGCCCCAGACAATAAATGAGTATGGGGCCCAGATGGATAGAAGCAGGTCTGATACTTGGGGCCCACTTGGGTTACCAACCTGAGACCCAGCTATTTTTGTCGTCAGTTTCCATGGTGGCCCCAAGTGTGTTTGCCCAGATGGAATTTTGGATAATGTAAGTAAGCTATAATTTAAATCACCTGTACAACAAAGCCAGTTTATCTTTTTTATTAATACTGATTACTATGAAATTTTAAAACAGTATGCTTTTTTATATAATACATTTTTTGTTTGGAGAACATGTTGACAAAAATGTCCACAGTATACACAAAACAATAACAAATAAATGTTATACCGTTTAAAGGAAAAACAAATGCAGCAAACCACAGCTTCTCACTCATTCACCAATCCATTGGTCCTGAAAGAAATAAAATAAAATAAAAAATTAGTGCATTTTCACAAACAAAATCAGATTTGCGATAGTACTGAAGTTGTTTTGGAGGTTGTGCTGTTCAAGTTGTTTGACCTCCTACATTGAACTCTTTGAAGACCATGAGTATTCATGGAAACAGAAAAGCTATTTACAAAATGATTTACCAAGTAGGCACTCAAAAATTAAATTAATGTGAAACATTTTACCTTAAAACATTTAAGACAAATGTTTAAAAGATGTCTACATAGTTACAATGATAACTGGTGTTGTGGGCTGTCTCAGTGATTGGCACAGAGCTTAGAACAGGCAAGTGGTTAACCAGTTTTTTGCATGGTACAGCACCTCATAATGAACACAAAACAAAATAGTAAAATGTAACAAGGGCTACATCTACCAAGGAGAAAACAGATTCCACTTCTTGAGGTGTGTGCCAGGCGGGCGCCAATAATTTTCATGTAGGGCTGCCACGATTTGTCGACTAGTCACGATTACGTCGACTATCAAAATCGTCGACGGAGTCCGTTTGAAGCTTTGTAAGATCACAAAAGACGCAGGAATAAGTGGCAGGATTTAAGAGTGTAATAACGGACTGAAACAGAAGATGGCAGCATTGCATGTACAAGGATGCCAGCTACCGTTAAACCCCGAAGAAGAAGAAGCAGCTGTGTCCCAGAATTCATAGCGCGGCCCAGCGCAGTTTCCAACAATGGCGGCAGCTAGTTAGTTTTAATGTTACTCTTATTATTCTTTCTGGGTCACAAAATAAACGTTTAACATATTTTCAGGCGAGAATGTAGCTGTGTAAACCTCAAATATCTGCTCAGTTTATCAGGACACCACATATTTTCGAAAGCGCTCCGACGTTTTCGGAGACATCTGTTACCCACTAGCTCGTTAGCGAGCCGGGGGCTAGGCTCACTAGCGCCGTGAGAACACCGGACTCCCCGCAAATCGTTTTCAAACCCACCGCCGTCTTTCGCTACTCAGGTTAAATATATATGAGTCACTTAGATAACTTAAAATGTTATTGTTTGGCTTTTTTTTTTTTAGTATTTTATTTGTTCCTGAGTAAATCAGTTTGTCTGAGATTAAAGTTATAGCTTTTACACAGCTGAATAAACGTCAAGCAGACAACTGATTATCAGAAGTGTGAGATGCTCCAGAATATACTCCGGTGTCCTGTTATATTTTAGATAGCAAGGAGTTTATTAAACTTCACCGAAACAATCTGCAAATTTAATTAAAATTGAATAAACTATCATCTTGTCTTTATTTTTAGTTAGCACAGACCATAAACACTTAAAGCTGTAAGCTAATGATAGTTATATAAGAGCAGATGCTGCTGGTGCAATAAGCTGTAGTTTTACGTCCAATGGATGATGATCTGATTAGTCGACTAATCGCAAAAATAATCGGTGACTAGTCGACTATCAAAATAATCGTTTGTGGCAGCCCTATTTTCATGTAAATCAAAAATAGGGCCATCAGATAAATCAGTGTGTTACTAATTACACTGGAAAAAATAGAGGCTGGCTCTGGAGTTCCTGGAGCTTATTCACATTCTGTGAGCAACCAAAAAACTGTTTAGTGAGAGACTTCTTCAAGTATGCTACAAGCCAGAAAGAAACGTGGTCATTCCTGCCAGCAGCCACCAACCTCCAGAACAACATGAGCTGATGGTTTCATCTCCACAATTTGTACAGTCTATCTAAACCACGTGTCAAAGTCAAGGCCTGCGGGCCACATCCGGCCCGGCATACATTTATATCCGGCCCGCAAGATCATTTTATATAGATGTACTATTATTGTTATGCATGGCCCGGCGATATGAGGCGCTAATAATATACAAACTACAGATCCCATAATGCACCGCTGAAGCCTCCTTGCTGACCGCTAGGCTAACTGGGAACATTCCCGCGTCAATCAAGTCAAACTTCTGTTATTGCGAAGCTAGCCGCTCACAATGGTGGAGAGAAAAGTTGTTTCTGAATGACTGCAGCTGTAGTGAGCATCCGTTATTCAAACATCAACAAAATATCTTACAACTAATGAACTTACCATATAGCACTTCAAAAACTTTAAGCCCTCGAAATTCCCGCTTTCCATGGCACCCAACGAAGTTATATTGCCTGGAAAGAGCATTGTCCATAATGAAGGCCATCATTCTTCTTGTGGCTTCATCAACAGTGCTCCCTCTGATCTCTGCCACAACAGCAACCTTAGGACACGCAAGGACAATAATTTTACTGACAGTAGTACCATCAGTCACACCTAAAAGAAAGCAAGCACAGCTACACAGTAATTAGGCTCTATAATATTGATGCTAATTGACTGAGAAAGAGTTAGGTGTCAAAGTCAAACACTGTCTGATGTGAATGCAAAGAGCTAAATGATTCACCAAAAGTAATTTCTTAAGTTTTGGGTTTGGCATGGCACAACTTATAACTAGGTAATGTTTGGAGAAGTTATTTTATTAACAAAAATAGCAACTTTTGTTCAGCTCTCCTCCCACTCCTTCATTGCACTGACCATGTTCGAACAAACAGCAACTTTCCTTGATCATAACTGCTAGCATGAAACACAGACTGATTGAGGCATTAATCATTGAATATTGTTATTACATCATTATTATTTACCACTTCTTTTAGGAAGACAGGGTCTGCCAGTTTTTGCTCCAGTGCTGCCACATCTGCTACTGTCCGGATGGGAAATACAGCACCCTCGGGTAATACTGCAGCAACTGGTCCATCACGTTGTGTAAGGAGAGACTGTAGCATTCGACTGTGGACCCTCTGAGTGTCCTTAATGTCTTCCAGGAGGGTTAGAACACGTACAAACATGCTCGTATTGGTGGCTTGTAGAAGTTGTCTTGGAACTGGTTGTGAAACCACAGATGAAGGAGTTGAGGGTTGTAGCGGCTGAACAAATGGATGAGTGATGTTCAGGAAGTGAGTTTCACTTGAATGTCTATTCTCCATTGCTGATGGTGGTGAGGTCTCTGGCTGTTCCGCAGTGTTGTCCCAATCCTCATCAGAGCTCGACGGGATCACTGGCCTTAAAACAAACAAACAAACAAAATACAACAAACATACACACACAAATAAATAATAATCCAAACACATAATTTAGGGTACTGGTTAGTCCTACAAACTAAAAACATTAATGTATATAATGGCATCAAAAAAAAGTCTAAAACAGATTTTTAAAAGTCAACAAATTATAAAGCGCTATTTTGAAATCATATCTTTTTTTTTTTTTTTTTTTTTTTTTTTTTTTCTAAATGACATCAGAAACAGCAGTATGCGACATTACGTGATGGCAGAGCTTCAGTTCATCCTTTGTCTTTTTTTTTTTTTTTTTTTTTTTTAAATAAATAGGACAGGGGGAATGAATGAGAGAAAGAGGGGGAGAGAAAGAAAGAAAACCAAAGGGGAGAAGAGACGGTGAGAAGGGGGGGAAGAGAGAGAAAAAAAAAAAAGAACTCCTGGGTCACCTGTATGGAGAAAAAAAACAAACAAACAAAAAAAACAAACAGAGGAGACAGCAAACAACAAAGAGCAACATAATAATAGAGAAAACAAAGCACCATCACAATAAACTAGCTAGTCATAGATATCAATATTTACTAAATAATAAACGATATTGTGCAGCACGCAAGATAGACAGCGCACAGTGTGCTTTGAGGCAGCAGCAAAGAAAGCTTTAGTCCGCGTCTGTGAATACCCATGTGTGCATACCTGTGTGGATCAGCATGCTTGCATTCCAAAGGTTTCTCCATGTAATGATCTGCTAGGGAGTGTGGGGGGGCCACAGCCCCGTCCTCCAGGGTGTGAAGCGGGTATGGAGGAGATCAAAACTCCAGACATCCAGAGGCCCCCAGAACACAAGAGACCATGGAAGACCAACAGAGGGGCAGCCGCGCCACTGTTCCAGTAAGAGCTGAGGAGAGTCCCAGATGAGGGCTCGCCCAGCAGCCGCGGAGCAGAAGTCAGGGGGAGTTGCAGTGACGCGCCCGTGAGCTCCGCCGGCCCCCAGCTGTGCCTGAGTGACCGAGCCCCAGGCCGAGAGGCCGGGGGCACCCCACCTCCAAAGGGGCCCGAGCGATTTTGAAATCATATCTGAACCTGATGAGCAGCAAGGCAAGTGTCTGCTAAAGAAACTGTCAGGTTTTTTTTTTTCTTATAATCTCAATAATTTTTTGCTTTTAAGGTGTTTTCAACACAATTACCTCCTTTTCCGCTTCCCTTTCCCAATCTGCTTCCAGAATCCAAATAAATTCCACCAAGGAAGGTTTCTAATGGGGAGCAGGAAATGCTGTCTAAAGGGCCAAACTTCCGTACATCTTGAGCTAGGTGTATTAAAGAATGTATATTATAACCAACAAAGTCAAGACCATAAATCAAAGCAAAATCTTTCACAAACTGCTTCAAAACATCCTCTGCATAATCACAGTCAGTTATCAATATACAAATCAGGACTTAGATGAATTCTTGTAGATACAGATAACAGTATAAAGTATCTATACATTTGGCTTGGTATATTATTCAGTAGAACTGGGCTTGTGTAAAGCAAAACTTGTCTCAATTCAGTTGCTTTCTACGTGCTAATTTCAATGAGAGACCTTGGTTTCCTTGCAAAACTTTAAGGAAGATATTGCCTGACAGAAACCATGAATGCTGAAATCAGTTAGAATTTGCGTAGACTGTCTGCATTTTCGGGGACTTTTTAACCAAAGATAAATAAGCTTGCGCATTACCCCCATATCCCACACCCAGCTCGTTCAAAGTGACACCCCAACCTGGTGCTCTTTGTTGGCCATAGCACAAAGTTTCATCAGTCCTTTAGTCAACAGAAATTTCATGATAACATAATCTTTAGCATGTTCATCGCAATCGTAGTGCTCTTCCTCAAGTGTTTTATTCTCAAAAGAATCAGAG